TCACAAGTAGGGGTTTGCAATTCAAACTTTTTGAGTTTTGGTGGGTGGAGTTTAGGGGGTTGATGGGGGTGAGTTCTCTTTCATGTCACTTTAATTCCTCCTCACTATCCTAGAAGTGGTTTCAAGCATTTTTTGATATCAGCTTTCGTTCGTGAGATATAATCCATTGCAAGTTTTAAAATTGACACACTGTATAGTGTGGTCCTAAAGTAACGGATAAATTTACTTTCAATGTGTTTATACATTAATAAAATAATAATAAAATTATTCAACTGCCCCATCAACCTCTTTTGAGCTATAGATACCATTACAAAAATTTTCAATAGGAAGGGGCGGCGTGTGATACCTCATTTGAAGGGTTTTCAATTCTCTATTCAGCTACATGGTATTTTTTGGTTTTTGGAATGAGATACTCAAGAAAAAATTAATGTCATTCAATACAAACACATCTCCCTCGAGACAAATACCTGCCACGATTGACTTGTCTATTAGTTATTTTGTTGTCAAAAAAGTAGCATCGGATGTTTTTGTGACATTTGAATGTCACAAAAAGATGAGACGTATTTGAAATTCAGTTAGTTCGCTAGACCTCTCCAATTATTTGTATTGTATTTTGTTATAAATCCTTTCTTCAGGAATTTCCAAACTTTTTTGTGAATTGTTTCGAAATGCGCCTTTCTGAGACCCAAAGAATTGAGATATTGATATTGCTTGGGGTGGGTAATGAAACAAGAACACCATCTGAGGTATGCAGAATATTTAATGAGAAGTATGCTGACCATCACATTTCCAAGTCTACGGTGAATAGAACAGAACGGAAATTTCGTGAATATTGAACTGTCAAAGATCTTCCAAAGCTGGGAGATCAAAACTGAACGACGACAAGGAATTGGATGTTTTATCTTTTGAGGAAAACCCACAAGACAAGAAGCTGGTGATAATGATGTATGTAAAACTTTTGTATTGATAATTTTGAAAACACAAATACCATCCATATGATATTCAACTACATCAAGAACAGAATAAGGATGATCCTGATCGTAGATTAGAATTTTGTGAAATAATGTATGTATGTATCGAGGTTGCATGGAAGAGCAACGTGACAAGATCAGAAACTGCATTCTGTCGTGGTACGTGGTACGTGGGTGAATTGTATATATTGTATTCCATACATTGTATTTTTTTCTTTCCTATCTTACCTATTAATTATTATTTTTATTGTTATTATTATTAAAGAGAACGTTTGGGCTGGCATACTGAATAACACAAAAATTGGACCATAGTTTTTTGAGGGGATAGTAACGGGGACCAGTTATTTGGATTTTTATAGAATCTTTCAATACCTGATTCACGACGTTTTCCTGATCATGTTAACACCGCAGATATCAATAGAAACATATGTTTTCAACAAGATGGAGCTACACCANGATGAACGTTTCCAATCTCGAGCATATGCTTCAGAATATTATTATTTCAAATATTGTTGAAAGCGTTAAACTTTATTTCGTTCCATGGTATCATTAATAAACCGTACAAATTGAACAATTAAATTTTTTTGTTACCAACGTCCAATTATGAAAAAATACCATATTGCTGAAACAAGCATTGAAAACTCTTTCAAACGAGGTATTATACTGTACCCGTTCCTATTTAAAATTTTCATAGCGGAAGCTATAACCGCTAAGGGGTTGATAGGACAGTTGAATGATTTCATTGAAAATATGAAAATTAACCTGTTTCAGTATTTTTCATTTGCATTCATAATAACGTAGAAAATGAATTTATCCCTTACTTTATGACCCTACTGTTGTTACAATGCAAGTGGTTTAAAACATAGGAAACAGTATTTATGTCTATTATCTTCATTATTTAACTGAACTGCTCCTCTTCCAGCATATTGTTTCTCTGTACTTTTTCTGCCTCTTGTTTATTCAAATTTTGTTTCTGGTGACATTTTTCTCCACCAATCATATTTCTTTTTCTGTACTGGTTTTTCTCCGTATTTTCTTGAGTCATTTCCCATATGTGAATATTTTATTTTTGTGGCATAATTTTTACTACACAATTCTAAATCATGTTGCTTTATGTTCCATTTCCATAAAAAAATCGTTTCTATTTCTCGATAGCCTGTTTTAACTTGTTTCCTGTTTTCCTTCCTTTACCTTACGATTCATTATTGTCTATATTTCTTGTTCTAAATTGGTTATATAATCATTTTGAAAGTTTCTCTGATTGAAATGCTTCACCATTCTTTGTTTTGCATTCTTCTATTGCAATTTCATCTTCTCCGTTTCACCTTGCATATATTTTTTCAATTTTCTATCTGTTGTTACCTCTTGTACAGTTTTTGGAATCAGTGTACCTGACCTATTTCTTGCTTGATTTTCATTCTGTATTCTTTCTGTTCATCTCTTAGCTGTATGATTTCCTGACTTAACTCCTTCAATTCGTGCCCTTGTGTACATTTATTCTGTTCATATTCCTTTAACACCTACTGACATATCCCTGATCATATCCATTTTTTCTGATATCATACTTTGTCAAAAAATGGCGTTCCAGATGTTTTTCTTTACTTTCCCAAGTTACTCTTTTTTTCTTCATCTGAAGTAGGAAAATCAGTTTCCATATTATTTTTGTGTATCAGACTGTTCCTCTTATGACTCTCGGGTTGTGGATCTGTCCACTTCAACAGTCTTCGAGGCGTGTTGTCGTTTCCATGTACTTGGGATGTTAGAAGAAGAAGATTCAAAAACATGAATGGAAAAGGAAATGAAGATTTCTGAAGGATTTATCATTAATAACTGAAGAATCAACAGAAGTGACTAGTTTCTGTAGTAGGAGATTGTAAAAGTAGAGTGGGAAACATAATTTTCAAACACAAAGAACTATACGAACGCATGAAGAAAATACGAGGAATGATAATAACTAATACCATATATGCTCAAATATATACATACATATACAGGCTGATTCACGGTGGATGGCACATTAGACGTTTCTGATGAACCAGACAACGGATCACTTTGAAAATTTAATGGAGGGCTGATTCATTATTGTCTATATTTCTTGTTCTAAATTGGTTATATAATCATTTTGAAAGTTTCTCTGATTGACATGCTTCACCATTCTTTGTTTTGCATTCTTCTATTGCAATTTCATCTTCTCCGTTACTAAGTTTCACCTTGCATATATTTTTTCAATTTTCTATCTGTTGTTACCTCTTGAAAAAGTTTTTGGAATCAGTGTACCTGATCTATTTCTTGCTTGATTTTCATTCTGTATTCTTTTTGTTCATCTCTTAGCTGTATGATTTCCTGACTTAACTCCTTCAATTCGTGCCCTTGTGTACATTTACTCTGTTCATATTCCTTTAACACCTACTGTGTTCCAGATGTTTTTCTTTACTTTCCAAAGTTACTTTTTTTCTTCTTCATCTGAAGTAGGAAAATCAGATTCCATATTATTTTTGTGTATCAGACTGTTCCTCTTATGACTCTCGGGTTGTGGTTCTGTCCACTTCAACAGTCTTCGAGGCGTGTTGTCATTTCCATGTACTTGGGATGTTAGAAGAAGAAGATTCAAATCATAAATGGAAAAGAAAATGAAGATTTCTGAAGGATTTATCATTAATAACTGAAGAATCAACAGGAGTTACTAGTTTCTGTAGTATGGGGGCGGCAGCTGATTAACGGAAAAACAGATTTTTTTAAACAGATAAAGAGGCCTGAATCTTCTTGTGACACAGTCGTCATTCCCAACGTTAAAAACATAAACATACTGAGTATGTTTGCTAAATACAAAAATACTTTTATTGGGGGGTTTTCAATTTTCTAGCTCAAAGAGGACGAGAAATGGGCTAGATCTTCTCACAGTAGGCTACTCCTGCCATTTTCAACATCAGAAACGAGAATATTGGTATAAAATTTCTCTTAGACATGAAAGGAAACATCGAAGGTATCAAAAGAACATTTTGAGAAATTGAGTTGTCGTTGTTCAGTTCGTGTTAACTGATGTTTAGAGCTGATGTTCGTGGATATTTGTTTATTTTAAGACTTTTGGAATGATTTGGTTGCAGTAGCTTTGAGATCTACGCGATTTTCTTCTGAGCATGCGCGAATCTCAGTTATTGTGAAATTTGCAAGAATGGGAATAGTTTCAAAAATAAATTATATTTTTAGACACTACTTTGACTATTCAGTATATTTTTTCTTCTTCACGAGTTGGACAACCACTTTCGGTATCCATATGTAATGCCAGGGTTTAGCAAAAATTAACCTTTGAGTAGTTCAAAAGGGAGCTAGAAACCCTCTAATTGCACTTAGTAAGATAATTGAGGACACATGCCTTTACTACCTCTAAAGGGCGAAAAGTGATCAGTACTTTCTCATGGTTTAGAAAATCTTGTCTCGGATCGAGACCCTTAGGATCGAGCTTGAATAAATGCGGCTCGGATGGTGAGAAATTCCGCGGCTCGGCTCGATTTCGATACACCTCAAAACCAAAGAATCTGACTGAACGACCACAACTATCCTCTCGGTAACTCTTGATCCTGGTAACAAATCTAGAAGGCCAGGTGGTGCAGCATCGAAGCGACTTATCATGAAAAGAGAGAGGTTTGATTATTACCGTACGACAGGTCTTTCAATCCTCTATTCAATACTGGTTTCCTTTTAGGAATAGGATAAGTCGTTTCTGAGCAATCAGCAGCTCTCTATTCTTTTTAATAGTCTTCAAACAAACTTCATCAAAATTTCAATAAAAATTGTTTTCAAAACTCACGCCAGTGCATCCTAATTTTTATTTGAAATATGCAACATTCACTTCCAGATATCTGGTAATGTTGCCTGATTTCTGATATGGGCTGCAGCCGTAAAACGTATACTTCAGACTTCACGAAAAAATCTGCACTGATGCAGAAGGAAGTCCACAACGAATTCCCTTTCTTAGACGTATTGGTGAAGAGGACCGACACTAAATGGGAAACATCTGTATATCAAAAACCCATTCACACAGGACAATATCTGAGCCAGAAATTCAACCACCATCAATCGACTAAGAGAGGAATCATCAAGACTCTATTAGACCGTGCTTTCGGGCTCAGCAATACAAAGGAAGGTCTCCAAAAGGAACTAGGCATCATCAAAAATGACCTTCAACGAAATGGTTACTCCAGAGTGATGGTAGAACAGGCTTTAGCTAGAAGACAGCAAGAGAAACACAAGGAAGAGAAGCCGCCACAACCAGTACATGTACTTCCCTACATCAGAGGATTATCGGAAAGGATAAGAAGGATTGGGTCCAAGTATAACATCAGGACCTGTTCAGATCTGGGAACACTATCCGTAGCAGCCTCACGAAAACCAGGCCACCCAATGCGGACTGCGATTCCAAGAATTGCATTTACCGGATACCCTGCGAGTGCGGAGAATCATACATCGGTGAAACTAAGAAGACATTGAAAGTTCGCATTGCTGAGCACAAGAAACACATAGAGCGAGAAGAAACCAGCAAATCCGAAAAAGCAGAGCATGTTTGGACTCATCAACAAACATTCCAGAAGGTATGAAATGAATTCATAAAGACACTTTATGAAGGTCCGAAATTGAATTGTGGACATTTTGAATCCCAAATGAAATGAACTGTAGTGTATTGAAAGGGTTTATTTTTAGGAGAGATTATTTTTGGGACAGAAGGGTTTTGGCTTTCTACTCCTTCATCTTGATACAAAAAAAATGTGGGAATCTTCCAAAGGAAGGAAGCAATCAATTTCAAAAATTAACTCTATACTAAAATGTGTAGATAATGCAAAGAAATACTTTTCAGACACAAACTGGAAGGAAAAGCTCTCTCGAAACAGCTATTTTCATATAATTGAATCAGATATCATTCACAGGATTCCTACACAATGTAATTAATGAAAGGAGTACAATTTCACTTATTGGAATACTGTCATCGTCACTGCTAGAAATCCGATGTTTCGGCATAACACTTGCCTTATCGGCTCTTCAATAGCAAATACGGATAATATTATAAGAAGAAACACTCAATTTGTTCATAAAAATACGACCTTTTGTCACCCATTCATGTCTTCGATGGCAGTACGTAAATAACATTTATTCGCTTATTTCACTAAATCCCAGCCATAGGAATCTTGTTTGAATTGAAAGGGTATATTTTTAGGAGAAATAATTTTCTTGGAAAGGTTTTGGCTTTCTACTTCTCCATCTTAATACAACAGAAATATGGAGATGTTCCAAAGAAAGAAGCAATCAATTTAAAAAATTAACTCTATACACACTTTTTATATCAAGATGGAGAAGTAGAAAGTCAAAACCTTCCTTTCCAACTGTGATGCAGATTCATCAAAAATGGAAAACTGCTTTTCATTCAAGAACGACTGGTCCGATATCTGAAAATAAGCCAGTATTGGACAAATAATTGAAAAACCTATCAAACTAGGTATCACAAGACTCTCCCTTTACCCAAAGTTGATAGTGTTCCCTCTACAGTGAGTGACTTCTTAGTAGTATGTTTTTTGTCGAAAAGTACTAAAAATGATTATGTGACTTTCGACCAACCTTGATAACTAGCCCCGTTCAAAGTTTCGAGGGAGAGGGACTTTTTACGTTTGCCCTGTATATAAAACCACAGTTTTATGAAATTTCTCTTACCATCGTCATCAACAATCATTATAACCTCAGGCTTCTTGTTATTTGCCACTTTTTTCATCACATTTTTGTAAACACCCTTGTTTTCTTCCCATAAATACTTTTTAAAATTTTGTAATTCTTTTGATTCTTCAGTCGGCTCCTTCTTTATATGAACTTTGATGGCATCATTATCTTTTTCATTAGTGGGAGGCTGAACTTTTTCCAAGATGATTTCATTGATTGGTTCTTTGGAAATATTCGAGTGTTTGTCACCTTTAGTAATCTCCATCGAATTGTCTTTCACTATAACAGTTTTTGTTATGGCGTCCTTTTTACTCCCATATGTTTTATCTCTTTTGCCTTTTGTAGGCGTACCTTTGATAATGTTGGTCCCTATGATGATATTAGGTGCTAGTATTTCTTCCAAATCTTGGCCACTTTTTCTCTTAGTATTTTCTGTACCTACATATGTCGTATTGTTATAGTTGTTGAAATTGACTTGAAAGGAATCTCTTGTATTGTTAGCAGGCTGTTGTGGATATACGTGATCTGTGGGTGGTATACATCGATTGTCAGCCTGATAAAAAATTACAGGATTCTGTTGATGCATGTTTGGAATCACTCTAACATCAGGAGGGTGTCTCATGGTGTGAGGCATCGCTTGTTGATTCTGACTGTACATTTCTGGTATGCTGCTTCTGGAAATGTGTTGTTCTCCTAATTGTGGTATTTGATTAAACGGCATTGCAGTATTCTGTTGTTGTCTCTCAATACACGAATTTGGAGGAATGCTAGGAGGGGGGAACTGGAAATTTGGATAAGGATGGAGTTCCTGCTGACATGTACTTGGTGTAAAACTTGGCACACCTTCTCCTCTTAACACTTTGACATATGCATTGATTGCTACTTCGTTTTTGGATCTGCTGATTCCTCTGTTGATGAAATCGAATAGTATGGGTTTTTGTGGTTCCAGATCCACCTCCATAATCTTGTCGGTATACATTCGAAACTGTGCTGAATCACCTCTTCCAAAAATTTTGTAGCTAACGTATGTTATCAATTCGTTTATGGTTGATGTGATATTTACTTTCAATTTGTTAGAAACGTTTCTTTTGTTCAGAAAAGACTGAAGGTTTCTGTAGCATCTGTTCATTTCAAACAAGCGATCAAGACAAAAAGGCTTAACCATTGCTTCTTTTGCGTTATCTATTAACCATCGGATGCCTACGTCTTGATCCATTTTCTCTTGCATTTTTACCCTTGCCAGCTCTTCGTCATAATGGGATGGTTGCGTATTACAATTTCCGATTCTAGAAATTTGGTCATGTATTCTAGGGAATGACCATATGGTGGGATGAGAGGGATTGTTAGTGTGTTGGGAAACGTGCGCAGAGGCTGATGGCTCGGAGAACTGTCTTTTATTTGAAGATTTGTTACGATTCATTCGCAACATATCGTTCACCGTTAAGTTGATTGGATCTTCTTGCGTCTTCACATCGTTCACTCCTCTTGAACCCACACCCCTTGCATGATGGTTTCTTGGTGGATTTTCACTATTCACGTTCGAGGACATGGGGTGTACTGTGTGTGAAGCACTATTAATTCGATAGTTCGATGTGTCCATACCACCATTATAGTTTGAAGTTGGAATGTATCGTTGCCCATTTAACACATTGTCCCTGGCATTTGAATTATTGTTTGGTCTCTCGTTCATTTCATGTTGGTTTTGTTGCAATGGGTAAAGTAGGGGAGGTGTATACATTGAATAGTTTGACGATACTGAATCTGGTTGATTTTTTGAGGGTGCCATTTGTTCCCGAGGTGGTAGTACTTGGCTATTATTAGAAACTAGATTTTCGGATCTGAGAACTGTTGGATATCCGATAGAATTAGGGTTAGGAGGATGCTGATGCAATTTTAGAAAGTTGTTCGCAGCAACAGCGTTCTGGGCAAGCATCTCATCCGAAGATGGTAATCTATCGCGTGAATTATTATTCAAACTTTGAGATTCAGTAACGATTTCTTTCTGTGGAGGGTTATTGAAAATGTCTGCCCCAGTAACTGTTTTTCTCCTTTTGTTTATGGGAGGTCTTATTCCTTTGCTTGATTCGCCCTCGAAGTTTGTACACTTATATCCTCCTACACTGGAATCATCACTATTTCTGGATGGTTCTCTTCTGCTTGTCCAGTGTGAGTCTGATACTATTTCAGGTACTATAGCCGGCAATATGTGTCTACCGGAATTTATTGTATTACCAACATCTTTAGTGGTTATATTCGAAGAGGATTTTCTACTAGGAACGTTTTTTTCTGAGTTGAGTGACGTAGATCTCTGCAAACTATCTTTTCTTCCTTTTCCTTCAATGGAGTTTATTATGTGGTTAGTAATGACTTCCTTCGGGAGATTTTCATCAGCATTTTTATTTTGTATATTTTGGCAGGACATTTGGAGATTCTTCCCGGTGCAAACATTGTAAGGATCTTTAGTCTTGCATAGAGAAGATGGAGCACCTGAAATAAAAATTACATATATTTATGGGAAAAACAAAAATAGCAAGTTCTCTGTGGGTGAATTCAGAAAGAAAGTAATGTCACCATTTCCTGTACACGTAAACTAACAATTTTTGTTCGAAAATGATGGACATAATGGTGTCTTCAAGAATATGTTCTTTGGGGAAGTAAGATCAAACTTTCGGCATTGTATAGACATAACATAACCTAACATATAGTTTCGTCCCGGAAACTACATATAGAATTCAATGGAATAATATGATGAACATAATAATAATAATAAAATGAATGAAAAAAAGTAAACGTTTCACTACTTCTCACTCATGAATTGATATTATGAAAATTATCTAAAAATTTATCACCCACAATCTACCTATCTCGAAGCTAATACTAAACGACCTGGACTACGGACATTTGTAATGGAGAAACTGAAACAAGGCCAAATATACTGAAAAGTGTAATGGATTGCTCACGGTATAAAATATTATAGTAGCTTGAATAAAAACTTGTTACGTTATGAAATAAATTACTTGGTAAATTAGTAAATATATGGTGAACGATTGAAATTATTATTTGGATTATTTTTATGTAGATTATCCGTGGTTGAAAAATCAAAACCTGCCCATAACCTTTTAAAAGTTTCCTTATGATTAATGATACTCTTTTTTCATTTCAATAATCGTCTATAAACTTCATTTGTAATTTACTTGAATTGAAATTATATTTTTGTGAAAGAAAGGTTTTAGCTTTCTACTTCTCCATCTTGATACAAAAAATGTGGGAACTTTTCAAAGAAAGGAAATAGGTAAAGAGTTAATTTTTGGAATTGATTGCTGCCTTCTTTTCTTTGGAAGATTCCCACATATTTTTGTATCAAAATGAGGAAGTAGAAAGCCAAAAACTTTCTTTTCCTTTCAATTTGAACAAGATTCCTATGGCTGGAATTCAATCAAATAAGCGAATGAATGTTATTCACGTACTGTCATCGATGACATGGATGTATTCAACTCATTCCGTAACAAAAAGTCATAATTATGCGTTTTTTCTGATAATCCGTATTTGGTATTGAAGAGCCAATAAGGCAAGTGTCTTATGGCGAAACGTCAGTGAGGATGACAGTGTTCCATATAAGTGAAATTTTAATCCTTTCATTTATTATATTGTATTGGAATCCTGTGAATGACATCTGATTCGATTCCATTACGAATATTTGGAATACAGACGAAATAGAAAAAAATGTTTTTTGATTTGAAGGCATTACACGTTTTCTGATATTTTAATTACCTTTTAACTGTCATACTATATACTAGCCACTTTGGACACAAAAAAACAATGAAATTGAATTGTTTCTGAAGCCTGCTTCAAGAATCTGAATACACTTTTCCAATTCTGAATACACCGGCTGATAAAATGGTAGAGAGCATACCCTGCTCCTTCCCCCACCTTTTCAATTTAGCTTCAAAATTAAAAAAATTGAGAATATTTGCAGTTTTTGAAAAACAAGCCTTCCTTGACTGTGAAGCGAAAACCATTTTCACTTCAGGTTCATGATAGGTCAAAATATTACAAAAAAGGATGAGAATGAGTCTAGGATGAGAAATTTGGCTCTCTTCAGGATATCAGGAAGATTTAACTACGTTGATGAAACCGCAATTTTTCAGATTCAACAAAATGAATTGTTTTCTCAATTTTATATAAATTCAGACATCGTAGGCTGGCAAATACTTTCAATAAATTCATTGTACATAGATCAATGACATCACTACCTTCGTGAACCAGAAACATCGAACAACGAAAAACTCAAGACGCGGTACATCTCAAAATAGAGAGTGGTCTGGATTCCTGGACATACTGGCCTGGAAGGCAATGAAGCTGCGGATTCTCTTGCAGAGGAGGGTACTGCAAGCGGCTTTATTGGACCAGAACCTATCATTGCATCGCTTTGGGCTTTGCCAAACAAACACTGAACACCTGGATGACAAGAAGATTTATGGACTTCTGGCAGAATCTTCCAGGATTGGCTCACTCCAAGGCGTTTATTCACCCTTCGAAGCTTGATTCCAAACAGTTGTTGGACTACAGTAGGGATGAACTACGATGTCTAACAGGCCTTCTTACAGGTCACTGTCATTCGAAACATCACATGCAGAGACTTGGACTGTCGGAAGACAGTGTATGTCGCCTCTGTCTGGAAAATGATGAAACAGCAGAGCATATACTTTGTGCGTGCCCAGCTGCCGAATCAGGTTCTTTGAGTTCGGCAGATCCATACTCTCACCAGCTGACCTGAAAGACCACTCACCATACAAACTAATCCGGCTTCGTTAAGAAGGTGGGTTTATTTGGCCGAGTGTGAATAGGTGTGAGCCACAATAAACCCTTGCGGGTTGCGGTGGAAGGTTGAATCGACCCACTCACTTTAGACCTACCTACCTACCATACTAGAGAGTCTCAGAATCAAGACATAAGTTGACACAATAGTATTTATAATAGTACATTCTTGTTTGATTTGTAATTTGATGCAACACTTGAATAATCATAAAAATATATCCTCTGACAGTTTTCATTTTAAGTGATCCATTATATCACACTGAAAAGTTTACGCCTAGGCATTGGGAAAGGGCGATAGGATACAACTTTTGTGAGTATCTATTTTCCACTTTATTTTTGAATATGTACTCTTCCACAATCTGAAAAATAAATAAAGCTGAATCAATAAAGAATTTACTGATGTGAAAAGTTACTGCGTAATACAAATCACCATAGAGTCCGAATTGTATTCATAAATTTTGCTTTCAAATGGAAGAAATGGAATTTTTATACTATAAAGTTGGTATACGTATAGATGAATAATCCTTTTCTTTTTTTAGATTTTTTTGTCAGAATACCTCAACATACTTTTAATTCATAAAAAAAGAAGTGACAAATCATTTTTCAAAAGCTTTGCGTAAGGCTCTATAATAGAAGCTACTCTTTGAAATTCGAAGTAAACAGAAGATTATTGTATCAGTGTTATTCGGAACATGTTATCATTATACAGAGTGTTTGGAACACCCTAATTATTGATGCTACGAATTCAATTAAATGGGCAAACTGGTAGCATTTTCAATGACCTTCAAGATGCCGAAAACAAAAAAGTTTCATAATAACATGCTCAACAACGAAGCTCACATCACCTTTCTTCCTAAAGTTGAAAATGAACGACTTATGTAGAAATATTCATTTCTTCCACTAGTACAAAAGTTTTTTGTTTTAGCCAATGGAAAGCTATGAAATATCAAGTGAAAATGCAAAAATACTGCCTTCTTGTTGAACACATAAGTGTGACATTTTCTTGACACTACGTTGCTTTCAACACGTGCTGCTTTCGGCAAAAAATTCTATCAATTATAATTTAAACATAACTTTTCAGTTCATATTCATTATTATATTTATCTATTTTGTACACCTCATTTCTCAGAAATAACCAAAAATAAAAATCTAGAGGTGTGATATCTGGTGAACGAGGAGGCCTCTTAATACAAGACCATTTGTAGCAACCCATTTGTTTCCAAAACAGTCTCGCAATATTCTTTTTACGCAACTGAAATTATGTGCTGGTGCTCTATCCTGCTGAAAATAGATCTCTGACGAGCCTCCAGGTCAATATCATCGAAAAACTCTTTCAACACTCTTGTTATAAATTAATGTAACGGGATCCGTTCAAAGAACCATGGTAGAAAAATGGACCGAAAATTCTGCCTCTGAATGGACCACACCAAACATTAATACTAAATCGTCCTTGCGAATTGTGGAGATGGACTAGAAATGGATTATGTCTACTCCAATAATGAAAACTCTTTCTATTATACATCCCACAATTTGAAAAATTAGCCGCATTACTCCATATAATATGGAAGTTTGGATCTTNTGATCGAGTGAGTACCTGAGTAGGTAATTTCAATTGTGATTACGTCGGGTATATAAATATAAGAGTAAGAATGAACTTTTAGTACGTAATTAACTACAAAAAAGCTACTGTGTTAGCGAAACATACATTCCCCGTTGGTGAATGAAAAACCAACTTTTGTCAATTACAATGATTGTTACGAGAATAAATAAGCCGAAATTTTGAGTCTTGTAACTCGAAAAAGAGAATATTAACATGGATAAAAATTTACCCAAAAAAAAAACACATGACTTCACATATTTGCTTACCTTGTAATGATTTATGTTTATTTTTTTTATCAGATTTATGATATAGACAAAAACAATAACCTTACATAGTGTACAAAGTCGTCAAATAGAAAATAGAATATGATAATCATTCAAGAATAAATAATAAACAAAATTAAAATCAAACCACCTTTTTTTCCTGAAAGAAATTTAAAATTGTAATGGAGAAATTATGATAGGTGAGCCCAAGCGGGGATTTCGGGATTTACTAAAGCGCGGCAGATTAATATACAGGGGGATACCTTGTACCCGGTTAAGTACCTCCACCAAATATGACCCCCATATATAAGGCCGCCTGTGAGGGATAAAGGATCAGATTAGTAAAAAAAATTGATCATCAGAAATTCTCGAGCGCGTCAGATTAAGGTAGNGTCAGTCCATTAACCTACAGTGTAGGGAGTTGAGACTGGCCTAAATTAATTGTTCCTTTAGATATTCCATAGTATGTGTTAGAATTTGACTCTGTGAACGTAGTCGAAATTGTTACCTCAGGTATACCGACAAATCAATATTAACCATATACTTAGAGAAGATAGTCACATTATCATGTTCGAACAGATCCAAGTGCTTGACAGAGCTCTATAACTTTATAAAAAATATTGTATAATGATACAATAGAAAGTCGAAAACACAGAAACAATGTCAACTGAAACAAAAAGGGAGTTAGCAGAAATGAGGTCTCATCCTCACTATGAAACACATGAATCTATACCTATAAATGCGAAAGTCCTAAGAACCTTGAATTCAGTACTTCTTAGGTCTTAGATGCGCACTAAAAAAGGTTT